AAAAACAGACCTGAATGTTTTGCGTTAAGACCTGTACTTTATAAGATAAGATAAGATAGACTTTATTGTTCTGGATAGAAACACTTTAGAAGAAAAAGAAAATGTGTAAAGAAAGAGGTGTGCAAACATGTAAAATGCAGGATATATTATGTGCAATAAAAGTGACAATTAAGAAACAGTCGCAATAGTAGTGCAGGGTTTTTTCAGTCCTAGTGCAAGTGACTTAAAGTGACTTTTTGTACAGTCTGACAAGCGTGTAATTGAGTTTTATGTAATAATAATGAGGATAATAATAACAATAATGCATTGGTTTTTACATGCCACCTTTCTGGACTCTCAAAGACACTTCACATGTCATTATTCTTTCACTCAATACACAGTGGTGATAAACTACTACTGTAGCCACAGCTGCACTGGGGCACACTGACAGAAGCGAGGCGACCAGTCTGTTCCATCAGCCCCTCCCACCACCACCAACCATTCACACACACACCAGACTCATTCAACAACCACAGTTTGGCACTTTACAGCCGCAGCCGCCCCACTGTGGCACCTGGTGTTCCCAGAGGTCTCCCATCACAGTACTAACCAGACCCAGCCCTGTTTAGCTTCTGATGGGATGCAAAAGATAACATGTTTTCTGTTATGTTCACCAGACTTGTCCAGGGGCCGACAACATTCTTAAACTGCTTTGGGCTTTAAAATTGGGTATGATATGCTCCTATTTATTAACACCACATCTACACTGATGCCTCTTTGGGACACAATTGAAAACATTACAGTGTATGCACATAAAGTGAATGGCTGAATTCCAAAGGGTCAGAGCTTTACAATGAGGTGCAGTACGATTGTATTGGTGCCGCTGAAGTTGCCTCAATGGATAGTTTGTATTAGCACGGCAGAGGGCCACATACAATTAAACAATGGGCCGTATTTGGCCCGGGGGCGTTGGTTTGGACCATAGTCTGTATATATTAACAGACATAGTCACGCCTATCTCTCCGCTGTTCTAACTAATGGGCCAAAAATTGGGCTTTCATGGAGTGATTCAAAATGGCCGCGGGGGCTGGAAACTGTGAAAAAAAGCATCTGCGCATGCGTCAGCCGACACAAGCCCCATTCGTTTAAACGAGTGACTTCAAAATTTCACAGCGAGTGAACTAGAGTGCCATCCATCCATCCATTTTCTTCCCTTTAATCCATTTCAGGGTCAGGGGGGTGGCAGTCAGAGATGCCACCCAAGTCTCATAGCACCAGCCCCTCACGGACCCTCTGCAGGTGGTGAGTCCACAGGAGGACGGCTGCTCTAAGTGTGAGCATAGCCTTGATCATTCAGCGGGGGCTTTGGGCAAAGTGGGGTTAAGTGTCTTGCCCAAGGACACAACGACAGCAGTCATCAGTGGGAGTTGATGGAGAAGGTGCAGAGGTGGGAATTGAACCCACGACCTTCTGGCCTCAAGGCCAATGCTCTACCAACTGAGCTACTGTCGCCCCCAAACTAGACCAACTTTTGGACCATCCTGTAAAGACGTTTTCGAGAGGTGGCTAATTCTTTTTCCGTGTCCACCCCCATCGTATTGCAAGCATGTCATTTTGGCCACTTTTGAGTCGGGACCCGCCCCCACTGGTTTGGACATGCCTTTCTTATTCTTAATATTTGGTCCAGTTATAGTTACATACAAAACAATAAACACATTTTGATTTCAGAAAAATCCACCAGATAACAACAGTGAAACTCATCATGTCATGTCAAAACACCTGCATAATGAAAAGAACAATTACAATAAAAGGAAAACCTGTCTATTCTTTCAGCCCTTGACCCAAAAACCGAGTCTGACACTCCTTTTATAGAACAAGCTGCAGAAGTAAAGATTCCTGACGACTTTTACAGATGAATGAAAGTCTTGTCCGGGATAAACATAAACAATCCCATTTATCAGACATGAATGAAGAGGCTCACAAACTCACAGCGGCAGTAAAACCGTGTGCACTCAGCAGCCCTCTGGAGTCTGCATTGAGAAATAATCAGCCTGCACTATTTTATTTTTTTTTCTCCTCGCTCTGACATGAGATATGATCTGCAGCGAGGAGAGGAAAAGCAGAGAGAGCCACAAATGAACCGAGCATGTGGCTGTGTGTGTGTGTGTGTGTGTGTGTGTGCGCATGGCGGATCCGAACCGACCTCTACGGTGTCTTTCCAAACATTTGGCCTTTACATTTCATTCACACCTTGTACTGATTACTTTGCCTCTAGTATTTGCCTTCATAACCGTATAAAACGAAGGTCCTAAATTAGCTGGAATGGCACGAGGCTTGAACCGAGTGGCCTCTGGCAAAGCTCCCACCCTTCTTCTAATCTACAAGTCACACTTTGGGTTCATTACATTTCTCTCTGTTTTATTTTTTCCATTTCAATTTCATAAATACGACTTTATGAGGCTGTTTTGGATTGACCCATCAGCCTCAGGCCCAGTTTATACGGAGACAACGCAGCGGTAAAACGCTATAGTTGGATGTCGGTTGCTCAGAGACTGTGTTCCAGGGGGGTGAGAACGTAAGTTAAGATCCAGGCCCCGTCCACATGTAGCCGGGTATCTGCTAAACCGTAGATATTTGTCTTCGTTTGCACCTGTCATCCACATGACAACGCATCATAAACGAATATAGAAAATAACGGAGATAAGTGGAGATTTTTGAAAACTCGGTTTGCGTGTAGACAGAGATAACCGGAGTCACAGTATGCCCTCAAAACAACAACAAACAAAACATGCGACCTCTGATCACTGAAGAAGGATTTTACTGCCTTAAAAACTGTCCACTGCTGCGAACCGCTCGCATCCTCGTTCCACATCAGAGAGCAGCAAAGTGATCACGGGGACTCACGCTCAAAAATAACCAAAACAGGAACTAAACCAGGATCAAACCAGGGCTGAGGATGGGGGTCAGTGCTTATGAACATGTGTCTTTAACCTGAGTTTCTTCTATGACTGTAAAAGTGCCGCTACACAAGTACCGGCGTCAGCATCAAAGCTCCGCCCACTTCTGTGGTTTTTCCCCAACGCAGGACGTCAGAGGACGCACATGTTTGGAATGTGAGTGAACACGCAGATGTTCGGTTATGTGCGGATGCAAATTATTTTATAAACAGACGGGGGGAAATTTGTTTTTAAAAATACCCGGCTACATGTGGACATGGCACCAGTCTGCAAAGTGGGACAGCTCAGATACACTGCTCAGAAGGGGCTCTTTCACACCCGCGTGAGGGAAAAAGGTGTGAATTCCCTGCCTGATCTGACCCCCACCTCCCCGCTGCTCCCCGCACGTAAATTTGTACATGTGCAGTAGCGGAGAACAAACGTAAACAACAATGGCGGCGGGTGCACTAACTAGGTACGTGTGCTTCGAGCGCTACAGGAGGACAATTCTACTCCTTCATTCGTCCAAACAAAACCACGCAAAGCTCTAGGTTCAGTTACCATTTTCGCAGCTGCTGTTAAATGCAGAATGATGTTGGTGCATCTTTCACATCTTGCAGAGGAAGTGAGTATACTGCTGGGGGGGCCAGGGGCTCACATGTGTCGTGTTGTAAAGTTCCTCTGCCCACTACTGGCCGGGCGCTAGAACTACATTGTTTTTGATCCTCGTATGAACACTGTGAAATTTGCATTAGGAGCCTGGTCGTTTCTGTTAATAGCTTGACAACTGCATCTCCTCCGTCTAAACTGGGCCTCAAACAGTCATATTTTAACAGTAGGAAGTGGAGTGAGAGATTATATACATACTGAAGCATTTCTTAATTGTCTACGGCGAACGCGGAACACATTGTAAACACGGTCGCACCTCTTGGTTGTTGTTTTGACTGCTTTTATGAATGGGCCATGCAATCAAAGTTCACCATTGTTTCATTATGGGGTAGTTTATCAGTGTTCCAGCAGTTAATGGTTTCCTTGCGTGTCTTGTAAAAACAAAAAGCTCCTAATGAAGTTTGAGCAAAACAGCTACCTGATCACATAAGCCACATTCTATTACCATAAGAGTCTTTAAACTTATTTTTAATCACTTTTATGGACCCCTGGTGATCAAGGGGAATAAAACTGTCTCGCAGATATGTGTGTTGTGAGTCCAGCAGGGTCTGGAAACAGCAGCGAGTCCTAAAGTCGCTCTGGCACAGTTGTTGTTTTGTGTTTTACAGTCATTAATGTTCTTGTTTCTTTCTATCTTTAAATGTTACTGCAGTGAAGTGTTCATGGTTTTACATTGATCCAGACCAGAGCAGAGAGAATGGTTAACCAGAGTAAACTGGAGGTATATATTATTTTCTATGCTATTAAAGCATTCAGAATTTCACTCTGAACCAGAGCAGAGATAATGGTCTGAACCAAGCAGACTCTGCAAACATCAACCAGCCGCTACATCACCTCTGCTGCTGCTGCACTTTATTATGGTGGAAAATAAATATTTGGTCCATAACAAAAATTCAACTCAATACTTGCTAATCTAACCTTTGTTGGCAATAACAGAGGTCAAACGATTACTATAGGTCAGTGTCTCTCAAAGTGGGGTCCGCGGCCCCCTGGTGGGCCGCGAGGGTACTGCAGGGGGGCCGCGGGAGGTCACAAAAAAAAAAAATATATATATATATATATATAATTATTTAATGTTAAATGTATAATGTTTTGTTTGTAATATTAAAATATTTGTGTTCATTATTTGACTTGAATAATCCACTGTAATCATTTTTGTATTACAATGTTTGTAGCAGAGGCTATTTCCCCAAAATAAAATAACCAGAAGAGCCTATTCTTAATGTTGTCTTCTTGGTTATTATTTTGGGGGGCCACGCAGACCCTTCAGATTTTTAAGGGGGCCTCGGTGTTACTGAGTTTGGGAATGGCTGCTATAGGTCTTTACAAGGTTTGCACACACAGTACCTGGTATTTTGGCCCATTCCTCCATGCAAATCTTCTCGAGAGCAGTGTATCTATCTATCTGTCTTTCAGATGCTCTGTCTGCACTGGCACAGCTCGGCCTGGCCTGGTACAGCAGAGCACAGTAGCACCTCCGCCAGCCGCCCGGAGCCTGTCAGCAGCTACATTAAGCCATTACACAAAGCAACTGGGCCCCCACACCGGCCCTGCACCGGCCCACACCGGCCCACCCCTCACATCCGCTCAGATACATACCATAATTACAGCCCCACTTCATACTCATCTCCCCTGGCAACAGCAATCACACAGCCCACAGAGCTCAGTCTAATTCACGACTCTGGTGGAGGGAAGTTGGCGGCGGTAATGACACCAATTGGCCTGAACCTAAACGCTGTAATAGGACTCTCCGAACACTGGCCAGGGAACGCCGCCGATCCAGCCTCTTCCACTTCCTAGCAACACAGACTCGGGCTACAATTTGAGGGGAAATGCTTTACATTACCTGTGCCCCGCAGCCTGAAGCACAGACCTAATGAAGCCCAAATTGTTGCGAATTAAGCAGAGTTCAGTGGGGGGAGGAAACAAACAGAAAAGTGGAAGCATGTGTGTCGTACGGGATCGGAAACCAACCGGAATATGCAGCTCCAGCAATCGGGAAGAACCAGAAAGGACCTGATGATCCAGGACACTGACATTCAACCACATTTATGGATTTTATCAATATATATGGACATTGGTCATCTGCCGCTTATGGACCAATGGATCTATGTGTTTTCTTATCAATGCATGTGTTTGAACTGTTTGATTCTGAATAGATCTACAAAATTGTAACCATTTGTAAATTTGTAAATAGCACTGTTGTATATAGGTACGTTTTTAAGATAATATTGAATGTAGTGTAGAAAGGCCCAACTGGAGGGACTAGAGTTGAAAATTAGCAATAGCTGTAAAAACTATTTTTGCATCGCATCAGTTACAAGATGGTTTTGTTCTATGTTGACGTGCAATGTCCCTGTCAAATAAATGAATAAATAAATAAGATAAATAAAAATACTTGCTTCTTATTATGCCAAAGGTAGAGATTGTATACTTCTTTAACATGCTAAAGTCAGAGATTTGTGTAGAGATTTTATACTTGTTTCTTTGTTATGCTAAAGTTAAGAGATTTTATTTTATTTATTAATTAATTTATTCGATTGGAACAATGCACATTAATGAACATCAGTATAAAACAATTGTAAATATGCCGGCACGGTGGCTAGCACCTTCGCACTCTCGCCTCTCTGCAAGAAGGTCCTGTGTTCGAATACCGGTCGGAGCAGGGTCTTTCTGAATGGAGTTTGCATGTTCTCCCAGTGCCTGTGTAGGTTTCCTCCGGGTACTCCGGTTTCCCCTACCACTAGACCTTAATGTCTCTGTACACTGTCCCTTCAAATAAAGACTAAACTAAACTAAACTAAACTAAAAATCCCCAAGCCAAACATCAACACCTGAAGATGGGTTCCCGGGCGCTGTGACCACTACTCCTGACGTAAGCCTTCGTGGCATCAGGATGGGTCAAATGCAGAGGATTGAATTGCCCTACGGGGATCAATAAAGTGCTCCTTTACCTTTATAGCTACCAAGCTAGTTTTCATCCGTAGTCCCTAGGCAAGAAAATACATAGGAAATGACAACATACAATAAAATAAAATATAAATATCACAATACAATGCAGACTGCACAGGGAACAGTTAAGAGTCTAGTGGTCACATGAGTTTCTTTTCAGCCATTGTTTGTTGTTATTTTAGTATAGAGTTGTTCATTGGTCTTGTGCCGTGTGCTCCTCGTTCCTACTTCCAACCTGTGATGCAAACTGAAATTTCCCCACTGAGGGACGAATAAAAGGTCTCTTCATTTTAATCTTAGACACAAGGGAGGATGCGGACCCCACCTCCACCTCCGCAGTCACACAACCGGACTTATCATTTTAAGTTTAGACTAATTCCCTTTAAAGAATGGACTCTCGGACTCCAACATGTAAATGATAAGAGGAGGTCAATCCCGAGGGCACCAGCACAGACTCTGGAGACGCAGCGGTGCGGACACAGCTCACTTCCTCGTCCAATATTTGACAGCAAACTGACAAACTCAAGATGCGGCAGAGCTGACCGGGTCAAGTTACATTACTCAATAGTTTATGATGTGTTACATGGTGCCTTGGTGCCAGTCGAGGTGAGGGAATGGTCAACAACGGGGGAAGCTCGATAAGACAGATTCATAAATCATAAACGTCTTCATATATTCCGGTTTACTTAAGCAGTTTGAAAAGGTTTTGAATGCCACAAACACTGCAAAAAATGATCAAATCTGAGGGAATAATAGCTTTAATCAAGTCTTTTCAGAAAAATTAGAAAATTTGAGCACTTTTTGACTGTGCTGGAAATGGCTGCAAGTCCTAATTAGCTCTGAAACAGTTGTTGATTTGAGTTTTACAATTGTTTTTTCATTTTCATTTATTTATTTGTTTTTTTCTACCTGAGATGTTGGTGCAGTACAGTGTTCATGATTTTGCATTGGTCCAGACCAGAGCAGAGAGGATTCATGGTCCGAACCAAGTGGATCAGGCAAGAATCCACTGGAGGAATGCTAACTTTTTGAAAAATGCTAATGGAGAATTTAACATTTTATTTTGGACTAGAGCAGAGAAAATGGTCCGAACCAAGCGGGTTCACCTCTGCTGCTGTTGCATTTTATTATTACTATTGTTTGCTTTTTAGAATGATTTATTTATCTGTTTTGTTTGTGTGGATGGATGTTTTTTGCTGCTACTGGACACCTGAATTTCTCTTACAGGGATCAATATAGTATCTACATGTATCTATCTATCTTTCTAACATGTTTGGGAACGCTGAGAATACGCTGCAAAAAGCAAAGAAAAATAAGTCAATTTTTTTTTTAATTTGGCAAAAAGTATCTTAATTTAAGCACATTTTTACTGCCTATATATAAGATTAAGTCTTATTTGAAGACCTGTTACTTTATTTTCTCATTCCAAGAGAGGAATTTCTTGTATCTTGTTAAAACAAGATAATTTTGCTTGTACCATTTCTACATTTTAACAATTTTAGATTTATTTTTCTTTTCTTTTTGCAGCATATACGCAGCATTCCCAAACAAGTTGACTGTCGAGAAGATGTCAGTCGAACTCCGCACCTCCCTGTGAGAAAAGTCACTTTCGCCTGCACCAACAGGACTCCAACAAACATCCCTGAAAGCTGGAGCGTTCTCGCTGCGAGCTCTGCGATTGGTTGGCCCGCCATGAAAGCAAAGGCGCTCTCTCCACAGGCTCATCTGCTGGAAAGGTTACCTGTGGGACGAGGTACAGCCGTGGCGCCTGATTGGAGGAGAGATCAGGCGGCCCGCTGGATGGGCTTCAGTCGCGGGGGTGGGAGCCAGAGGACGTTCCGGAGATGGGCTGGTGAGCAGATGCACGAGACCCAGGTCCAGATGGAGAGGCCCAAAAGGAGGTCTGGGTCAAGATCAGAGCAATTATGGCAGTTCACAGAGACAAGGATCCAGGTCTGATATGAACAACGTAAAAAGAATAGTTTCCACTGAGCTTGTTAGCCTTTGAACTGCCTTCAAACTGAGAGAATGGATGTGGATGTTTACTTTCTGAACCAGACCGGGTTGAGGAGTTGGCAGGACGCCGCTGCACCAAGGAGCCAAAGAAATGGAAACAGTGATTGATCTGGTGACAATCATTCAGACTGTAATAAGTTGCAGTTTCGTACGTTTTCTTAGTATAGCTGGGCCTACATGCCTTTAAGAAAAAGTGCACTTTGATTTTACTGATATTATGTCAATGTCTTTTAGGTAGACAATAATGGTATGCTATTCTATTAACAACCCCAAGAGCAGTCAATATGACGGCTTTTTATTTTGGAATTGTAATTAGTCCCCTTATGTAATTTTTTGGTATAAATAACTTTCTGTTTCTTTATGTAGTTTATCTAAGTATATATGATTAAGAAACAATCTTGATCCTGAACTGGTCCAAGACGGGTCCTGAACGGGTCCTAATCTGGTCCTAGACTGGTCCTACTGGTTCAGAGCAATCTAAGCTTGGAGCAAGTGCTAGTTACCATAGCAACACACTGTTTACTTGCATTTGTTACCATTTCGTTGTTCTATATTTCATTTATGTTAACCAGTTTTAGCATGTATTAAAGATTCCCTAAGGATCAAAAACTTGAATTTGTGTAGTAGTAAAAACCTAGGGGCATAATTTCAAATCCCCGACTCTTGGATTGAATAGAGAAGCAAGGCCAGTTTATTGATATGGCACAGCTCATACACAAGGCAACTCAAAGTGCTTAACAAACCAATATAGGAACAATCACACATTAAAATTGCATAAAAATGATAAATAATCACAGTAAATTAAAAAGAGTACAAATAAAATCCCTCAGTTGTTGCGCAGCTGTTTTTTTAACCTGGATTTGAACATTGTCCGAGAGTCCATCTGTTGGGTTGCATCCCATAGATACATCAGCTCTCTAAATGTGTTTGGAGTGAGGGAGTCCTTTTGACTGCCAGCAGAGAGCCAGAGAGAGCCCGGTCATGCGTGCGTCCCGTGGGCAGGTGGAGCGGCGCCTGGTCCTCTGGAGAAATGGGTCATGGCGGAGCAGTCACTTTTGGCCGCGTCAAGTCAAGTCCCACACACAATGGCACTTCACGGGAGAGCCGCGTCTTCCTTCCTGCCTGCTTCCTGTCCATCGTTCTGCCTGACTTAGCAAACTCAATAACACTGCCCCCCCTCCAGACCCAGACCCCCCCGGCTGTCAGCAGACCGCCTCCAGAGCTGCCAAGTCTGCTTCCATACAGCCACCTTTAAAGACATTCATTCTGTGGATGTTTGCTTGCAAGCTGTGACAGTTACAGACTTTTGGGCTTGATCAGTGCTCAGTGAGATAACAGGTGGAAGGAGGTGTGCAATAATAATTCAGAATGTCAGAATGTGCAAAATACAACTACATTTAGTGTCCATTGTCACTTTACTGAGTCACTTTGTCCCAGACCCTCATGCTGCTAACATACTCTGCAAAACAAAAACAAAAAACAAAAAACCGGGGGCTGATGTATTTTTTATTTAATTAGTTAATGTTATGTATTTGTATTTAGCTAGCAAATATACCCCCCATCTTCAAAATGATATAAAGCTTTGATTAAAAAAACTTATTTAAAAGCGTCAGGACCATGTCAAGCAATTAGAATATACAAATTCGGCGCATACTCTTGATGTCCCGCCTCTCCCGCTCCCTGATTGGTTGGAGGGGATACAACCGAGGAAATTGCAGCCACTAGGATCAGACCCAGACAAACATGGGGAAGTAATAATTGACCGGAGTTTACGGATTACTAAGGCCAGGCTCAATCTAAATAAAAGTACAGTATAAAATGTTTAGTGACACTCAGATTAGCCCTCACTAATTAACAGCTAATACAGTGATTATAAGTGTATCCAAACCTTAATCCTAACCCAAGCTCTAACGTTAGCCCACATGGAAGTGTCAGTTAGTAGTTAATTAGATGTTTAATAAGGACTACTAAATAAGCGCCTAATAAATACCAATTAACAGCTTATTAACCATAAACTATTTCACTAATTAGCACTTGAAAAGCTGTTAATTAGTGAGGGCTAAAACAGTGTGACTAAAAGTTGAATCTGCATCCTAAATAACAGCTAATAGCTTTTTCCCGGGGGAACCATAGTTTAATGTCGTGTAACATTTCAAAACCAAGACCTTGTTCATCATCCATTGAGAACTTTTTAAACCTCTCTCCAAGCCCTCATATCTGTCAGCCTCTCCACCTCCTCCCTGAGCCCTCTCCACCTCCTCCCTGGGCCCTCTCCACATCCTTCCTGGGCCTCTCTCTCCACCTCCTCCCTGGGTCCACCTCCTCCAAGGCCCTCTCCATCTCCTCCTTGGGTCCTTTTCACCTCCTCCTAGTGTCCAACTCCTCCCTCGGCCCTTTCCACCTCCTCCCTGGCCTTTCCTCACCTCCTCCCAGGGCCCTCTCCACCTCCTCCCTGGGTCCATCTCCTCCAAGGCCCTCTCCATCTCCTCCCTGGCTCATTCCTACCTCCTCCCTGGGTCCACCTCCTCCCTATGTCCACCTTCTCCAAGGCCCTCTCCATCTCCTCCTGGGTCTTCATCCTTTCTGGGCCCTCTCCACCTCCTCCCTGGCCTTTCCTCACCTCCTCCCAGGGCCCTCTCTACCTCCTCTCTCGGCCCTCTCCACCTCTTCCTTCTCCGCCTTCTCCCTGGCAGCCTTCTCCGCCTCCTCCCTGGCAGCCTTCTCCACCTCCTCCCTCTCCTCCTCCTCTCCCTCAGACAGGACGATGACACAGAGCAGGACACATGATAAACGCAGAGTGGAAGTGGAACATAGCAAGACAACAGCTCAGCCTCTTTCACATGCAGATGCCAATGGCGCTGGGGTGTGGAGGCCCTCAATGCACGGCCTGGCCCCTACAGTGTACTCAACTTTTAACCCCCCCCTCCACACCCCTCCACCCAGGGCCTTTCTCATGCGGCCCGTTGGGAGCAGATTGATGATAGCGCTACACTTCCTCTGCAGGGAGCGCGACCTCGGCCTGAATAATGGCCCACTGTTGATTAGCCCGTGTCATTAGCATTCAGCGCCGCGCTGCCTCTTTTGCCACTATTCCCACTCCGCTACATGACAAATTGCCAAATCATGAATGCCGAAAATTAGCCGCACAAAAGCAGTCTGGGACGTTTCCTGCGTTAGCTTTTTTACTTATGCATGTGTAAGATGTAAGGAGAGGGAGAGTTTAGCGTTCGAGGCAGTTTAACGTTAACGGTTAGTCAAACAAACACATAAACGTATTGTTATTTTCAAATGTATTCATATTAGTTCCATGTTTTATTAATACCTTTTGATGACGACAAATCAAGGCTTGACCACATGTGTTTGGAGTCAAAGGAAGGAGTGCGGTTTCTGACCTGTGTGGTTTGGACTTAGGACAAACATGAAGAATTATCAAGGAAACAGAAGATCTCGGTATTATCTGTAATGCTTTTATACTAAAATTTCTCAAGGATTGACGCCTCTGTTCTGATGCACATTGCGCCACATCATATAAAAAGCTTTAGTCTTCTTTGGTTCTATCTTTTCTATTTGTATTTATTTAACCAGGAAAGTCCCATTGAGATTAAGAACCTCTTTTTCAAGGGAGTCCTGGACAAAAGTTACATACAATTGCAGATTATAAAAACAGAAACACATCATTTCATAAAATTACGGATTATAAAAACAGTTCCATGTCAATGAGGACGTCTCAAGTGCTCTCAATCTGGATTTAAAAGTATTCAGTTAAATACGATCGGATGACTTTCAGTCTTTTTGCAACACGTTCCATGTAGAAGGAGGAGCATTTACATATTTTTTTCCCAGTTATGTGCGGCAAAAGGAAAAACAAAAGATCATTGGAAAAAAACTGGGTACAGGTGCGTGAGTTTCGCTGCTGCCTCTGTCTCTTCTTTCTTTGACGGTAAAAACCAAATAAATGAGTGTTGGGTTTGCATAAAGACAGAGCCAAGGAAGTGGCAGTTTGAATTAGCACCTTAATGCTACCGTGAGGCAAAACACTTCTGCAGGTGAGTGTGGAATTCTGTCAACGGTCAGGTGTCAGTCGGTTTGTAAATGTCTTGGATGAAAGTGGTATTTCCAGGACGGACGAACCATCTTCACCCTCATCATCAAGAAAATCAGAAAAAACCAATCATGAAGTGCCCCTTTTATTTCTTATCTGTTGACTATATATTGGAGCTATTTAAGGTATTTCAGTTCATACCGTAATCATTATAACAGTACAGTGAGGGTCAAATAAGCAGAACATTATCAGAATAAGAAGGCTCTGTGTCCGATTCCAGCTCCGGACCTTTCTGTGTGGAGTTTGCATGTTCTCCCCGTGTCTGTGTAGGGTTCCTCCAGGTACCCCAGTTCCTCGACCTCTACAAAATAGTTGTAGTAATAGTACAATTGTAAAGAAATTCTGACTGTGAAAGGCGCTATAGAAATAAATAATACTTCCTTAATTCAATTGTTTTATAATTATATCATCTTTCAGTATTTAGAACAAGCACATTTTTGTAAAGGTCGGGTACATAACTTTTGTCCCAACAGAAAGTCTTGTTAAATGTTGTAAACAGTTCAGACCACATCTTAATAAATCTTTTTTCCTGAGAGTGTCCATCTGACGCTTTGAGCTGAGATGGAAAAGGTGCTGGGTTCGAATCCCGGTTGGAACAGGGCCTTTCTGAGTGGAGTTTGTATGTTCTCCCTGTGTCTCCTCCGGTTTCCTCCAGGGGCTCCGGTTTCCACTACCACTAAAACCATGTACAATAGGTCTGGCATGTGCCTCGGTGACCTCACTCCCATCTCCGGGTGGAGTGAGAGACAAATGCACACAAAGAATGTAAAGCGCTGTATTAATTAAGATGACTTACTTACTTACTTAGACGGAGGCCAAAAATGAATGCATATGAAAACAAGAGACAAGTTAGAAACATTTTTTACTTCAGTTCAAATATTTGTGCTGTGGCCATTCAGTACCCCAGCTGTCGAGAAATGTAGGCAGAGGCAGCAGCGATCGCACCCGGTTTTATTTTCGTGTTCTTCCAGGTCGAACAGCAGAAGACAACACTTTTGAAATTATTAGGGGCAAAGTGCATCAAAACGGAGACGTCATCACTTGAGAAATTAATGACGCTTAAGATACAGATACTAGTAACAATGTGGGTCAGAGCAAATACATTCAGTATTTTCAAAACGCTGCAGCTCTCCATGGTCTTGCAACAAAGTACATCTGTGACCATCCGGACTCTGAGGAGCACAGGGACTGACCTCGTGCTGGGACTCTGAGGAGCACAGGGACTGACCTCTGACCATGTTCAAATCCAGGTTAGAAGCAGTTCTGTTTAGCTGTGCATACAACTTACTATTTCTAATATACTCTGATTATCTAGGATTTGAATGCCTTGTTTCTATCTTTGCCTTTCCAGTTCTTCAGATAATAATGTTTAGCAGTGATACAGATATAACAGAGGTCTACAGGTCAGATTCCAATTAGCTGTTAACGACTTTTGGTCACTAATGTCTGTCGTCCGTGTGTTCTGAAAAAATGGCTCTGGTTTGTTTTACATCAGGCTCCAGAAACACAAAGAAGCATAAACCTCAGACGTTTCACGAGGGGAACATAACAAAGCCAAATAAGGACATCCAGAGAATTGGGAATTTAGGGATTTAAATGAAAGTGCTCACGACAAAGCGCATGCAAAGCTTCGGAACTCAAACCTTAAACACAATTTATACAAGTTTCTCAGTTTGGTTCTATGCTTTTCACATGCATGTTTTTCCGGCCTTATTTTTGTTACTATATCTGCATGTCAGACATCTGAAGTTAAGCAGGACAGGGCTTGGTTAGCACTGTGACGGGAGACCTCTGGGAACACCAGGTGCCACAGTGGGACAGCTGAGAAAGTGCCAAAATGTGGTTGTGTCCTTGGGCAAGACACTTCACCCACATTAGAATGAGTCTGGTGTGTGTGTGAATGGTTTGTGGTGGTGGTGGTGAGAGGGCGGATGGCATGGACTGTTTGCCTTGCTTCTGTCAGTGTGCCCCAGGGCAGCTGTGGCTCCGGTAGTAGTTTATCACCACCTTCTTTCAGTGTCAAAGGAAAAAGCACTGTATAAAACTCATGCATTATTACTGTTGAATAACCCCCGTAAAACCATCTCCTTTGTTTCTCACATTGGGAGAAATAAAAGCAGTGATCTCTGACTTGGTGCATGGCCTGTGCTATCGTTGTTCTTCTATCGGCCGTAAAGGCGCTCTTTATGGGGTGCACTTCCTCAGGATGCCAGATAGCCTTATCTGTTTTATAGACCTCCGAGGTCAATACCAGAGCAGCGTGTCTGGTCCAGAGGCCGAGCACCAGAGCAACCTTTAGCACCAGCACTCGGAGTTTCACATTTTACGGCTCTTCAAACGGCCTCCTTACAACTCTCTTATCATCACCTTGGATCTGAGATAGCAGCACAAGTCATAAAGTCCAAAGAAAAGCCAGCGGAGTGAGCGACGTCATGGTTGGAGGACGTAGACAAGGGAGCACTTCCCAGAGACAAGGGCTAATTTATGGCTCTGTTTAGCCTCTGCTCTTCAGGATCTTCACCTGTGCCCAAAGTTCATCCATGAAAAGGCTTTTGTCAGCCACAATGTTCCCTGTCTGCCCCTCTGTCTGCGCCTTTGTCCCCACTCTCTCCGTCTGCACTGCACTAATTGCTTCGCCTCCTCCATTGACCTAGGAGCACTTAATACACGTCACTTTTTAAATATTGCACACTTGTATGGATTGGTATTTTTAGATGAGTATTCTACGCCAGTCTGTGGCCTCCTCTTCTCCCATCTTTGCACGTTTGTCTCTGTTTGAGCTCACATACTAGTTAAGTTAAGTCCAGTTGATTGTGTAAATTAAGACAAGGATTGGGCACTGGTTCAATCTTGGACCAGTCCCATTTCCATTTCCCATCACCAGGGCTGTTCAGTGTTATAATAAATGCTTTGATTCTCAAGTTTAAAAAATGACCAATCATCAATAAGTAATGACTCTACGCTGACCATATTAAAGAAAACATTTTGCTTTTACGGTTAACCTCCATGACTTATTGTATTGTATTAAAACTTCAAAACTGTTTCCCCAATTCATCGTATGTACAGTTTAAACATTAGTAAGTACGTAATGTTTATTCATATGGCGCATTTTACAGACCAAGTTCACCCAAAGCGCTTTACAATGAGTTCAGATATTGTTCCAATCATTCCACACACGGTGATGACGGAAGCGAGTCCCCGAACACACAGGACCATCAGCCCCCAATCAACACCATCCATTCACTCTCTCATTTACATTCATACCTATTGTGCATGTTTTTAGTGGTAGGGGAAATCGGAGCACCCGGAGGAAACCTACGCAGACACGGTGAGAACATGCCAACTCCACTCAGGAAGGCCCTGTTCCGACCGGGATTTGAAACCAGGACCTTCTTGCTAAGAAGCGAGAGTCCACGGCCTACAATCAATCGAAACAGCAGTAAAACAACAAAGGATCAGAGAATCAAATAATAAAACACAGGAAATACAACAAAAACAAACACTTAGGAGCAAATGGTCCAAATGGCAGGGGAATGAATTCGAAAAAATAATATAAATATAAATGTTCCGTTTCATCACTGACGGCCAAGCTGTAGATCCAGGACTGAGGCTGTAGATCCAGGACTGAGGCTGTAGATCCAGGACTGAGGCTGTAGACCCAGGCCTGAGGCTGTAGATCCAGGTCTGAGGCTGTAGATCCAGGACTGAGGCTGTAGATCCAGGACTGAGGCTGTAGATCCAGGACTGAGGCTTTAGATCCAGAACTGAGGCTGTAGACCCAGGACTGAGGGTGTAGATCCAGAACTGAGGCTGTCGATCCAGGACAGAGACTTTAGATCCAGAACTGAGGCTGTAGATCCAGGACTGAGGCTTTAGATCCAGGACTGTTGAAGTTTTACCGATTGAAATAGTTCTATATAAAGTTAGTCCTCCTTGATACTATCCCTCCGACTTCA